AAAGATAATAATATAATTGTTTCCTTATACTTGTTTTAATAAATAATTCGATTTATTTCGAAAATAATATTTTATGGACATGAATTAGTAATACATGTATTAAATTGTGCTACTAATGAATTTGGATGCTCTTGTAATAGTAATCTAACATGCATATATCATAACCTAACGTATTCTTGAAATGTATTGAAGCGTAAGATGTGGATATGGCAACATTTGATCATACCAAAATGATTTTTTTTAGATCATACATATGATTATCAACATGCAACTTATATTTTATATGTATTTATTATATTTTAATTTAGTCGAGCAGCTCAAGGATCTTTTGAGCCGAGCCAGGCTGAGCTTGAGCTCTAGCTCAAATTTGTGGCTCAATAAGCTCGACTCGCGAGCTCATTAACTAGTCTAGCACGAGCCCGCTCGGCTCGATGGCTCATTAGGTCGACTCACTTACACCCCTATTTTTTATCCGCAATTTTGTTTTCCAAAGCCATTGAGGTTATGCAGGCTTAGGCAATGTTCATTGAAGCTACTTTGGCTGAAAAAGAACATCTCGACGAAAGATGTTTTATTAGCTAGTGGGGGGGCCCACTGTAAACCCACCCTTACCTTATTCCTCCTACAAATAAGGTCTATCTTCTTCTCTTTTGAAGAAGTCAACCAAAGAGCTAAGGAATAGGCTCTATCTCTAATTGGTTGCTCCATTAGCAAGAGGCCCTTCTACGAAGCTCTACTCTCGTTAATAAAAACATGGCGTTTGGAAGGTTCTTTTGACTTATTATCCTTGAATGAAGGTTTTTATGTTGATATTTTCTTATATGGAAGACTATGACATGATTTGATGGGTAGATCGTAGTTCTTATTTGGTAAGTCTTTTGTCCTTAAGAAGTTGGCACCTTAACTCAAAATTGTAATAATTTGGTCATTATGAAAATAATTTTAAAATAAAAATCTAAATTTCTATTTAAAGGACAGCGCGATCGTTCACACCTTCTTTGTATTCTTCTCAATTTGAGTTGCACCATATGCGTCGTATTAACAGTACCAAGCGGCTGCATGCCTCTTTGAAATTTTGTTATTTGTTTCAATTGGTGATTTTTTTAGTATGATACATTTTAAAAAAATTCGAACCCAAAATAATATTTGAAACATATACTTGCCATTGAAGCTTATTCTTTCATGGGCTACTTGCCATAAAATTGTACAATAATTATATTTAAGGAACAATCCCTGCATAACTTGGCAACTTAAAGAATTTGATAAGCTTGGACTTGTACAACAACAACATATCAGGGTCCATTTCTCGGGACTTGGGGAAAATGAAGTCTCTGTTACTCATGTAAGCATAATTTGGTTCATATAAATCATGTGATTGAATTATGTAATGCTTGAGTTTTATTTGTTCCATACTTCTAGCTTGGTATTTATTTTGTACTCTGGTGTATGCTTTTTGCTAATGATATCCTTCTTGTTGATAAGAATTGAGATGGAGTTCAAGATAAACATAAATTATGGAGGTCTACCTTAGAGTTTATTGGTTTTCATTTGAGTAAATATAGTGCATAATATATGGAGTGCAATTAAAGTAGTAATAGATCTCGTGAGGGGATTGTGACTTTGGGTGATCAAGTCATTAATAAGAGTATACATTTTAAATATCTCTGTTCTATTGTTCAGAGTGAGGGTGAAATAAATGGGAAAGTTATCAGTAGAATTTAAGTTGGATGGTTGAAATGGATGAATGCATGGGGCATGTTGTGCCATAGAAAAGTACCCATCAAACTTAAGAGAAAATTCTATAAGATGATGGTGAGACCTTCAATGTTTTATGGCTCATAATGTTGGCCATTAAAAGAGAAGTATGATATTAAGTTAAGTGTTGCAAATATGGTAGATGAGTGGCTTCATTCTTAGAGATGGAGTGCAAAATGAGCATTTACTTGAAAAGGTTGGAGTAGCTTCTGTTGGAGTTGCTTCGAATTTGGCTTGACCCTTCTTTGTTCATGTCCTTAATTGTAGTTCACTTCACATATATGTTAGGGTTCCAAGGGGCAGCGACTAGCTCGACCTGCCCAGTCAAGTTGCGTGCTCAAGGGGTGCACTTCAAGAAAATGACTGATTTTTTACGGATGTTTTCATCGGAAATTATTAAATTTCGGTCGGATTTCCAGTGAACTATATTTCGTTAGTAAAGCGCGCGTCGGAAAAGAAATTACGACAAAAAAAAATTCATTGAAAATTTTCCGGCGACTTTCAGCGAAAATAATATGCTGGTTTTTTAGCATAAATTGATGAAAGAAACATTTAAAAAACATAATTGAATTCTGGCCAAGGGGGCCACAGCCCGCCCGCCCACCTGCTTGCCGCCCCTGCTTGGCCCTTGCCAGTCTGCACCACAACTCACCCACAATAGTTAGCCAGCTCGCAACTTATCATGTAGATCTGGCAACCTTTAATAATATTTAGAGTTCCTTGAATATTTCTTTAGTATTGATACGTCATCACAAAATTAGCTTGATCGGGCACGAATCTCGAGGCAAAAGCTAGTTGGAAACTTCAAAAATTAATTCCGAGAGCACCCGAACTCCGATTTCAGCAAACTTATAGTCGAACTGAGCGTCTCGGAAATACGAACCCAACGACACCAAGATCAACCCAATCCGAGCCCAAATGGGTCCAAATCATGGA